GAGCACTCACCACCAGCTGGTGCAGTCCTCCACATCTGCTGCTACTTCCATTGCTGCAACTCTCTGTGGAGACCTCTGGAGTTGCCACTAGTCACCGTGTGTCCACAGGTCTGAACTACTCCTCCCATGCAAGGAGTCCCAACTCAGGGAGAAGGTTCCACTGGCTACCTCCTTCTTCACTGAAGTTTCTTTCTTTGCTCTCCCTATGGGCTACAATTCTCGCTTCATACCTTCCTGGGTCCAGGGGATCCACTTCCCTCCTTCTTCTCTTCTTCTCATTGCTATAGTCCAGTGTGTCTGGATGGTAACTCTCAGAGAAGCTCTTCCTCTGCCATCTTCCTGGAAGTCCTCTAATATTTTTCAGAAAGTTTATTAGTGTATCTTATACAGAACAGTAGGTTTTATTTTGGCCTATTTCCACATGCATGTAATGTACATAGATTGTTTTCATTTCTACCACTGTTACCCCTCTCCTTTATTGCTCCTCCCTTTGATTCACTTCTTCTTATATAATAGTCACTTTTTACTTTACATTCTTCTTTAAATTTTTTTGACACTTTAATTTTATTAGTGCATATTCTTACACAGAATAATGGGGTTTGTTTTGGTATATTCATAAATGCATTTAACATAACTTGATTGTTTTCACTTCTTATTATCCCCTTCTTCTTAATTCCCCCTCCACATCATATCCTTCCTTTCTCTGATATTCTCCTTTCTACTTTCCTGTCACTTGCTCTTTTTTCTCTATTTCTTTAGGTTCCACCTATGAGAGAAAATAGGTGATATTTGAGTTTCCAAGTCTGAATAATTTCATTCAGCATGATAGCTCCCAGTTTCATCCATTTTCCTACAGATGACATGATTTCATTCTTCTTTATGGCTGAATAACACTCTGTTGTGTGTATATACCACATTTTCTTTATTGATTTATATCTTGATGGGCATCCAGGGTGGTTCCATATCTTAGCTCCTGTGAATTGTACTGAACTAAATTTGGCTGTGCATATGTCACTACAGTATTCTGAATTTAACACTTTTGGGAATATGCCAAAAGGTGAAAGCTTTATTTTCCTTTCTATTTCATCGAATATTCTGAAGAGCATTACCATTCTCTTTTCTTTTTAAGTCTTATAAAGTTCAACAGTACATTCATCTGCTAGGAGGGTTTTCATTATTGCTCAAATCTCATTGCTTGTTATGCAACTATTTAGTTTTTAAAACACCCTCTTGGTTCAGTTTTTGTAGGTTGTATGTGTCTAGAAATCTATCAACTTCTTCTTGATTTTCCAAGATTTATTAGAATATAAATTTTCAAAATAGTCCCTAATGACCCTCTGGATTTCAGTGGTGTCTGTTGTGATATTCCCCTTTTGATCTCTAATTGTATTCATTTTGGTCTCCTTTTGTCTGTTTTGATTAGTTTGGCTAAGAGTTTATCTTGTACTTTTTCAAAGAATCAGGTCTGTTTTATTGACCCTGTGTATTGTTCCTTTCAGTCTCCATTTCATTAATTTCAACTCTGATATTTATTATTTCTTTCTTCCTATTGATTTTGGAGCTGGTTTGTTACTGTTTTTCTAGGAATTTGGGATGCATCATTAGGCTATTTGCGACCTCTAATTTTTAAAATGTAGGCATTTAGGTGTCCATAGCTGTTTGTTATTCATTTACTCTTCTGCGCAACATCATTCTGATGTTTCTTTGTTGGCTTTTTGTGAGTGGATGACCTATGTCTTTGTGAAAGTGGGATATTGAAATCACTCACTATACTTATATTGGGATATGTCTATCCCTTTATATTGAGGATGGTTGATAGTGAGTTGAAGGCCAGCCTGGGCAATGTGGCAAGACCTTGTATCAAAATAAGAAAATGACCTGTAATGCCAGCGTTCAGGATGCTGAGGCAGGAGGATCACTGTGCATTCGAGGCCAGCCTGGGCTACAAAGTGAGCTCAAGGCCAGCCTGAATTGCATGATGAGACCCTGTCCCAAAAAGAACCCCCGAAAAAAACAAACTAAAACAACTCCCCCCCAAAAATGAAAAATGTGCTGGGAGTGTAGCTCAGTGTAAATGCCCTCAGTTCAATTCCAAGTAATTAAAATCAAATGATAACAGCAAAGAAAACTCAGAAAGAAAACCAAAGATTAGCCAGTGATTCTTCATGTCTATGGAATTTGACTTGGAGAGGCAGGGTCAATTTCATTTACGTCCTTTCTATTTACAGCAAGCCATGTAGGGCAGTGAGCTGTCTGTGTTACTGTTTCTCACTGATCATGAGCACGTCTGAGGCTGTGGTTCCCATAGAGGGCTTCTGTGTGCACAGCTCAAGGTATGACAATTGACTGAATGGCAGCCAACCCAGCCTCTGCAGTGCGTGGAGCACGCAGGACAGATACATGCTCTTTCTGCCTCGTATGCCTGGGTGCATTTGGGTGTGCAAAATGACTGAGTGACTGAAACAATCTCTTTTCACTGGTCTGAGTTTAATGGATTCGACCACAAAGAGCATGCATCCAACCTTGCCTGATGCCAACAGTGGTGCTTGTGTTTAGATTGCTGCCCACTCTTTGCAGCCCGTGTACTTTCCTGGCACTGGTGTGCCCCAATAAGCTTTATTCTCAGTCCAGATGTCTCTAGACTGCACCTGTGCTGTGATGAATGGCCACACCATTAAACAGCTGTGAATTCCCAAGAAGCCTCAGAGAGTGGGGGTAACAACAATGCTGCTAAGTTCTGTGTTGGAGAAGGGACCAAGAGGACAGAGTTCTCTGTAATCAACCCTCTCTAGTGCTCACTGCTCTCAAGCATACTGTCTTCATTTCTGGTTATCAAGACCTCAGGCACCTGCATATTCTGCTGTGATCTTCATCACAGCCTGCATTCCCTGCTGCTCAAACCTCCTGGCAAGAAACCGTCACACTTCCCTCAGCCAAAACTGTCTGGCATAACCTTTTCTCATACAGCCAGTGCATCAGGGTGGCCAACTACAATCCGAACTGTGATCACTTCAGAGGGGGAATTATTCCCTAGTAACAGGGACTCTATTGAAGTGGCTTCTGGGTGTAGCCTTCTGAGAATTAACACAATCCATTGTTGGGTTACATGTGCAAGGGGTTACTTTCAGAGCTAATATTCCTCCTGGGAAAAAATCTGGACTGCAGATTTCCCCCTCAGAGAGGATCATTGGTCAGCTTGGAATATCTGGGGGTTCTTGAATTGGCTGCTTACCTTACATTTACAGCTTCACAATCACTACCCACAAACCTAGAAACTGGAGTTGAAGTTATGAATTGTTCCAGACCCTTCCATTACTTTCATTGATTTTCATGTTGTTTACATATTTTTTGCTTGCATATTTGTTCCAAGAATGATTCTTCATGTCCACTGGATGGGAACTAGTTTCTCCTTTATTAGACTGACTTCTAAGTCACTGAATCATACAAAGGTAGCTTCCATCTCTAATTCAGTATTTATCAGCTTTGGACTTAACGCTTGACTTGGGGTCAAATCTGCCCATATAGTTTTACTTTGTTGTACATCTCAGGGGGAAAGAATTCCTCTGTTGTTCCCCCAGCATTTAATTTTGTCTCCCAGTTGACATTCCATAGGTTGGAGGAAAGAATTCTGTTGCATTTCTTCCATCACACCTGCAACAGATGCCATTTCTGACTACTCCACCTTACTTCAAAGTTAAGAACTGACTAGTTCATGCCTGCGTCTACCGGAAAGTGAAACATTTGGTTTCCCAAATTTCACTTGACTCCAAAAGATTGAAGGGAACCCCTAGGTCTCATTTATCATCAACATCATAGTTTTCTTAGGGCTCTGTGCGTCTCTCTCTCAATCTCTCTCTCTCTCTGTCCCCCTTTTATTATCTCTTTCCATGCAATATGCACATTGACCCCTTCATTGGAACTCTTTCCATGTTTCCCTGATCTGTTTTTCTTTCATCTCCTCATCTATCTGCTGTAACCACAAAATCTGTACCCTGTCTTATAAACAATTTAGTCACTTTTTGCAGGTGGTGTCTATGTGGTAAGTGACAGCATTTCCAATTTGACAGATCTGAAGTTGGGAATATAAGTCCAGCAATATCTTGCTGGCTGACCATTCTGTTTCAATCCATGGACCTTATATTCTCCTGGTTCCCAAAACAACTGGTAGCAGATTTAAAGCACTTAAAATAATTTCTTCATCCTCTTGAGTTTTACTATTTGTAAAGGGAGTATGTAATGTCTTTCTTTCTTTTCTGAACCATTAGCGAAGTTCTCCCTTCCTTATACTCCTTATTATGCAAGAGCAAGGGTTTGTACATAAGGATTCTATCTCATTTAACTGAATTTTGACAGATTAAATGTAATTGTAATGTGGTATGGCAATTTAAAGATATGTTATGCACCTGTTGTTCATCAGAATGTAATGCATTAATAGGCCTCCCATTACTGTAATAGAATAGCAATTCTTTTTTAGTCATAGGATTTCAACTTTAAGCAATACGGTCAGCTAGTATATAGTGGAAAGGACTTTTAGATGGTACTGAAACTTTAGCTGTCCATTTTAGGAACAAAAGTATCTGTAAGAAAGAAAAGTTGGGTGTGGTGCCACACACTTGTAATCCCAGAACTCTGGGGTTGAAGCATGAGAATCACAAGTGTGAATCCAGGCTGGCAACTTTGTGACTTAGGGAGATGAGACCCTGCCTTAAGCTCCAGAATAAAAATAACTGGAGATGTAACCTAGTGTGAAGGCTCTGTATTCAATTGACAGTGCTGCCAAAAAAATGAAGAAGAAAGGAAGAGGAAGAGGAGGAGGAGGAAGAGAAAACAAAAAGTCAAACCAAATGAACATTCTCTTCTCTTTATTACTCCAGGTTGAAGATCCTTCCAAAAGCATCACAAGGTATAATGTCCGTCAGTGACAAGGAGTAATGTGCATATTTTCCCAGATTGCCTCTAGCATAATTGACAGATGTACTTGTGATGCATGTTTATAGAAAATGGAAGCCTTGGTGACAGACAATTTAACCAGGATCTCAAAATTCTTCCTCCTTGGACTGTCAGAAGTGCCTGAGCATCAGTCCCTCCTCTTTAGCTTGTTTCTATTCATGTATTTGGTCGGTGTGATGGGGAACCTGCTCATCATCATGGCTATCAGCTTGACTCCCAAACTCCACACTCCCATGTACTTCTTTATAGCCAATCTGTCCCTTGTTGACATCTGCTTCACCTCTGTCACTGTACCAAAGATGCTGCTAAATATTCAGACCCAGAGCCAATCCATCCCCTATGCTGGGTGCCTCACTCAGATGTATTTTCTAATTCTGTTTCTAGAACTGGACAATGTCCTCCTGGCAGTGATGGCATATGACAGATACGTAGCCATCTGTCACTCCCTTCACTATGCTTCAACCATGAGCCCCACATTCTGTATAACCTCAGTGTCTGTGGCTCTAATTGTCACAAACATCTATCCCTTGATCCATACCCTGCTTATAGATACACTGTCATTCTGTGCAAGTGTCCAAATACATCATCTATTCTGTGAACTCTATGCATTGCTAAAGCTCTCCTGCTCAGATATCCATGTAAATGAGTTGGTTGTTTATACCCTGGGGAGCATTCTTTTTGTTACGCCTTTCCTCTTCATTTGTCTCTCCTACATGCACATTTTCTCAGCCATTCTAAGATTGCATTCTTCTCAGAGTAAGTTGAAAGCCTTTTCCACTTGTAGTTCTCATGTTGCAGTGGTGTCCTTGTTCTACGGGACCCTCTTTGGGGTCTATCTGCAACCTTCCTCCTCATACACTGTTGAAGATTCTGTGGCCACAGTGCTATACGCAGTGGTGACTCCCATGCTCAATCCCTTCATTTATAGCTTGAGGAACAAAGACATGCAGCAAGCTTTGAGGGGCCTCTTCAGCTGGAGCAAGGTCCAGTCTTGGTGACAGCAGTTTCTGCTTCTTAGCAAGGGTGTGCTCTTTTTGCTGCCCCTTCATGTGGGAAGGTGAAGCCAGAAGACAAGGGAAGTTAGGAAGATAGCACACAGGTCCTAAGCAGATAATTTAAAGTAAACTAAAACCCAGGGTCTAAGTGAATTAACATACCAAAACAGACTATCAGGGTCTAATAAAATGCAAGAGACAAAAAACAGGTCCCTAATCATAGGGGAGAGACCTTGGAGGAATGCAAATAAAGTAGTTTGTACTCTGGACATCAAAGGCCTACCTGCAACCAAGAGCGTCCCTGCTTTTTGTCACATACAGTGGTCCCAAGAACTGTATAAAAAGCCTATGGATTTAACCATCTGCAGTGTCTGCCTTGCAAAACACCCCTCTCCAACTAATGGAGAGCTTTTATTTTATTCTTTCTAATAAACACTCATTTGGCCATTCCCCATCGCTTGCTGTTTACTATTTTGTCAGCTTCAATCTCTGTTTGCCCAAAACAAGGACCAGAGAGCTACACGGATTCAATTATATCTTTGGTGCCCAAAGTGGGGTATTCATCTTCTCTATGGAGAAGTAAGTGTGGCAAAATGGCCAAACATATATGCATACCATCTTTATCCTTTCCTTATAAAACTCTAAGAAACAGTGGTTACTCTGCCAGCTAGTTAAATGCTCTTAGAGTAGCTGCCACTCTTAAAGCAAAAGACAAGTTTCCCAAGCACCCTCTGGTTAATCCCCCACTGAAGCCAGTGGGAATGTTGGTCAGACAGACAGCTGGATTCATTTCTGGAGACAGATCTCTGATTTTGTACACCCAGTGAAAGTCGAGAGGGCAACTCAAGGGCCATCGCCAGGGCAGCTCCCCAGCGGGCGTCCAAGGGAAGCTGGTTCCCAGCAGCCCGACTTGGTAACCAGCAGAGAAATCTCCACTTATCTGTTGTCCCCACCTGCACTTCTCTGTGAAGTGAGAGGTGAAACTCTCTCAGTGGTCTTCTGGTATCCTCAGTCTCAGAGTGATCTGAGATGGCACGATTAGAGCCCACCCTTAAGCCTCCATTAAGAGTTGAGCTATAGGGGCTGGGGATTTAGCTCAGCGGCAAAAGCGCCTGCCTGGCAAGCGCAAGGTCATGAGTTTGGTTCCCGGTACCGGAGAAAAACAAAAAAAAAAAAAAAAAAGAGCTGAGCTATAGATTTGGACTTTTCTCTTTGCTATTAAGATAGACCCCCTTTTCAGTATGTCTTGACACATTCATGGGGCTGGAAACAGGTGAAAATAACAATCCTTTAGATCCCTTAAAAATTTTTTTGCTAAGAAAAAGGTCTAAATTAAAAGAATCCCTCCTCCCAGGTTTTTTTTTTTTTTTTTCCCATTGGAACTCACTGGGAGTTAACTTTGAAACTCCTTGGCTCTATATATCACCTTCTGTAAACAAAAATGGAATGACATCACCTCCTTTCCCTCCAGGAGGTTGGACTGAGGCAGCTTACGAAAACTGTTTGCCTTTAACACAAGAAATCAGACATCTGAGGAGTGATTTACACTTGTGCCTTACGTATGCCAAGGGTGAGAAAAAAGCCTTTAGCTAAGTATTGCCAAAAGGGTCACAGGATCAAAAGAAAGGGGCGCAGATGCCAATGGCCGCTTCCTAGAGCACCTCCAGTCTGCTGACGCTGGTACTGGACAGAGTCAACCTTAAAGAATGCCTTAGAACACAAAGTGGGAAGATGCTATCGTGGATAAATATCTGCACCAGGGCAGAATGAAACCCTGATAGACCTTTGACTCTCCCACTCTTTAAAATACATACTTAGCTCCAAAAAGCATCACCTCATATCAGTTTCATTTTTCCTTTATTTTTTCTCTGGCTCTTTTGGCCTCACACAGAAAAAAACTGGCTCTCTAGGTTCTTGGAAATAGCTAAGTCAGGTCCATTTAAGAAGTTACAGGATGAGGGTTAAGAGACTTCAAACTCACATAGGACTTACAAATAAAAGCATTTGAGTTTGAGAGCATAAAGATTATGTATAATTTAAACTGTATATATTTCCACATGTGAATCTTCAACTATAAGTTCCACTTAGGCTAGCTTATAAATAAACATTCATGATATTAACCCAAATGCTTCTTGGCTTACATAGCCTAACGGTAATTTAATTTTAATCAGTGGTAAAAATTAGAGTTGTCTTTAAAGTTAATGACAATCAAAATGATATCAAAAATTGGTTTATAAATACAATGATTATTGCTATCTGGTCAAAGATAATATTCAAATAGGTAATATATTTATTTATTTATTTATTTATTTGCAACAGGGTCTCAGTATGTAGCTTAGGCTGGCCCTGAACTCACTGTGTAGTCCAGGCTGGTCTTGAACTCGTGGCAATCTTCCCGCCTCAGTTTCTAGAGTGCTGGGACTATAGGTATGCATCACAATGCCAGCATAAACTATACAAATAGTTTAAAGTGTTAACTGTTACGATGAGTCATCTAAAGCAATTGTGAAGATAACTAAGTGGAAACTCCTTGGACTTGGAGAACTGTTAGACAGAACTCCCCTCTATGATTAAAAAAAAGCAGATGCCTGGACCAAAACTAGTCCAATTTCTCCACTGATGGGTGACTTGTCCAGTTTTCCCAAGGTCTTATGGTGCCATACCCTAAGAATTATTAAGTTATTATAATATACTTAAGTTGTTATATGTAAAAGATTAATCTCTCTATGTCTAAAACAATAGTTTTCTAAATAAAAGATGATCTTGGTTAAACTTACTAACCTAGACTTAAAAACAAGGGTATATTATTATATGTAATTAGCTTGTGTTTTCCACTGTTAAACTTTTGGTTGCTAAAATTTAGTTTTAAAGGTTAAATCAAATGGTGGCTTACACAGTGGTTTCAGTAATCAGTTTATGACAACTATTATCTGAATTTGTGATGTAACTTATAGTATATATGTGTGTGTATATACATATATATATATATAATATACTTTAAGTCTAAGCTTTGAAGTTAAGCTTATACAGTTAAAACCACATAAGTTTAATACATACAAAGTGACTAATAGGTGTTCTCTTTTATACAATATACATCTAGTTGTTTAACATATAAAATGACCAAGCTTTGACATCTCTTTCTCAGTTTGGTCTTGCCATTTAGAACTTGATCTACATGTATTGGCTTTAGTTAACATCTACTGGCTTTAGTTAAACATTTTGCTATTATATAAATGAGACATACTTACATATTGGATTATAAGTCTATCTGTGTTCAACAACACTGTTTCCAAAATATATAAAACCTCTAAGAGTCTCCTTAGCTCTTGTCAGTGTGATTATCCCCCATAAACCTATTAAAATTCTAAATTCTGCATTACAATATAAAAACCAAATATATATTGACAAAAATTCTATACATAGTTGTAATATTATTGTTAACCTCACAGTATATTAAATGTATTTGTGTTCCCCAAGGTTATAAGCCTTCAACCATGCAAAGCCAGAAAAATATCTATCTGGTGACTCCTTGACAAAAGTTATTTGTGGTGATAAAATGTCTTATAACAATTTTATGATTCTTTATAACAGTATGTAACTTATGAATGCTAGGTCACAGCTCCAGACTTTTAAAACCCTCCATGAATTCCTTACATAAGCCCTAAATATAAAATCTTTAGGATAAATTTTCACATAAAAGTCCAGCTGTTAGGCACAACTCCTTTTTCCTGCCTCCTAATCTGCTAAAAAGAGTAAAATAGCTGTGCGTCAAGAACAAGAATCCTCGTTCTGGATGTAAGCAGACCTCTGTATAAATAAACAAGATGCCTAGGCTAGTCAAGGCAAAAAGTGAGACAGGCTATGGCCTTGGGTTGGGATGCACAGGCAGTGTGACCTCAGGATAAGGCGGGCAACTCACACAGCCTAACCTCACAGTCCTTTGTATTTTTTTCTCTTTCCCTTCACCACCCAAAAAGTACATAAAAGAGATCTTTAAAACATACAATACAATTAAAATGCTTATAAAGAGCTCAATATTTGTCCTTAAAATATTACCTTTAGGTTTTATTTTACAAACTTGGGGCCAATTTAATTTTTTTTATTTTAAAGAGAGTAGTAAAACAAAAGAACAATAGCAAAATAGCAACATCACAAACATAAACAAAACAAAGCAAGAACATTAAAAATGATACAGGGTTTCAAAACAAAATGATAGGAACTAACAGTGATTGTTATATTACATATTGTTATCTTCAACTACGTTGTTCAGATTACCAGATGTAAGAATGGAAAAGTTTCAAACCATTAAAGATAATAAAAACAATTATTAAATAAAACATTAGAGACAATACAGAGTTTCCCTAGACAAGATGGTAGGAATTCACCAATGCTTGTTCTATTGCATACTGTCTCCAAATCAGTTGCTCAGATTACCAGATATAAGCATGAAAAATTGGTCAAAATATAAAAAATTTTAAACATTAATTGTTTCTTTCAATAAACCATCAGACATCAGCTATACAGTTATCCCAGATAGATATATATATGTAGATATATCTATATATAGATATATAGATATGTCCTTCCTTCTTTCTCAATTTAAAACATTTTTAAAAGTTCATTTTTTTAGGCTGTTTCCTGGGCCTCCAAGGTACCCACTGCGCTAGGGCGCCAGCCTAAAATGATACTCGTAGGTCGTCCTCATTAAGAAAAACAGATCCTCACCTTTTATTTGGGTTGGGCTAAAAAGATATGTAGGCAGAAAAAAGACAACTGCTCAACGCACAATAGAAATATCTCTCCCAGTGTCAACACATCTTACAACATACGTAGAGCATAGATCCTCACATAAAAATGGTTGTTTGTCTCCTGAACCACTTTACCAGGTAATCATGCCTCTTAAAATAGAATAGATATTGTGTTTCATAAAAACAAGCCAGCTGCTTGGCATCTCAATCAATGCAAGACATTTTCCAGAGAGCTTTCCATTATTCATGAAAAAGTTCTCAAAATTCATTCTGGTTAGTAGATTCCATTCCCTCAGGGACTCACTGGGGCACCT